ATGCATCATTCATGTACATTTATAAAGCAAATTAAGAATTCAACATAAAGGTACATGTGTCTTTCATTTCAAGTCATTTCCCTATATAGAACTTTTGGGAAGAAAGGCGGCTTCTCCCTGCAGGTGCAACTACTTGTTATGAAATCTCCTTGGTTGCTTCCACCTCTGCTTATCTTAACTTCCCCATATCTGTGTTCTCTCTCGCCATAGTCTCCAGATAACTTTATGCAGACACATGACTCCTGATCTCCATTCTACCTTTATTTATTCATATACTTGGGTGTTAATCATCATACGTTTAATATATTTCACCCCAACATGTTCACACATGTCTACGATTGTGTGTTGCTCATTCATCAGCTATTGCCCTCCCAGCCCCCAGCTGTTCTGCTTTTCTACCCAGAGTTCCATTTCCACTCTCAAGTCTTACTCGGACACACAAACCTCTCTCCTCTTTCATGAACATATCCAATTACCATTCCATCACTCAGTTCAAGTTTAGCAAATCCATGTCAGTTCATTGTCTGTGGCAACATCTGCCTCAAACCCCCACTTGTCCTCTGGATCCTCTCCACCACCTTTCTGTTATTCAAGCTAAGACCCATGAGCATTCTCTAGTCCCCATTCTTGCTCTTGTCTTTCTGGAGGTACATTCTGAGAATTCTTCTTTAGTAGCACTGGAAACTACTGATTGATGCCTCCCCTGGTCTTAGGACACAACTGAACTGCTACAGTATCTTCTCAAGCTCCCTCTCTTCAGTTTCTACTCTTGTACCAACCTCACCTGTGTAGTAGATGCAAATTTTACTCCTCCTTATTGCACATCTAGTTGTTTTTGATATTTGCTTACTTGCTTGCTTATTTTTGAGGGGATATCTTGCCAAATAGCCCAACTTGGCTAGCCTTGAACTCCGGCTTGGGGTCCTCCTGCCTCAGAGTCCCATGTGCTAGAATGACAGATGTTTGCCACAGTGCCTGGCTCTGGTCTCGCTATTCTACCACCGAGGTACTTATCAACCCATATGGTTCCTGCCCACCTACTTTCTTATACTTTCTTAGGCGTTAACTGCAGTGAGCTTGAGATCCATCTTGTCATTGCGTCCCGGTGATGTGGCGCAGTGAGTGCTCCATAGAGAGCAATCAACAAGGGACACTCAAATGTTGTTGTCAACTCTCTAATATTAAACAATAAAGCAAATGGAAATACGTGATCATAAACACAAACTGAAAGGCTTCAAAACCGGAGAGTAGACATCTAGGATTACATTTATGACTCTGTCGAGGCTTTATTGGCTACGTTTGACAGAACAGAAATTTCTCACTAAAATGTAATGTTATAACACTTTTCATTACTGAATCATATACAATAAAAATGACAATGGCATCTTGAATTTATGGCTACTTAGTTAGAAACGTTTCTCATGACTTATCTATTTGTATAAGTCCCTTTGGGAACAAGGGAATGTTTATTTTCTAGAGGGTGACACCGGGTTTTGCAGCCCTCGTGTGATACTGGCAGAACAGTGGCTGAGATGGCACCTACTGCGTGTCAGGAAGACACAAAGACGAGTGCATTGAGTGTCTGCACTCTTGGGTGCAAATGGGGGATGCATGAGGTAGCCCGTATTGCACACTTGTACATCTTGTTTCTTAAGAATTCAAAATATTTAGGGGTGGAAATATGTTCACATTATTCCAGTATGTCAGCTTATTTCTGGGTTCTTTCACTGTGTTTTTCTGAGACGCATTTTTTCCCACACCTGCCTGAACCATCTGTGGGCCAGGCAGGCTGTGGGAGATGTAAAACTGAGTGAAATCTCTCTGTTTCACTTCTTTAGAAAGGGCTATGATGAATCATAGGGCAATGGCCTTCCTAATGATCTGTGCACCTGTGCATGAACAGCTAAGGGAGCCTCGATGTCACTGTTATAGAAAGCCAGGTACTGAAGTTGAGCGCTCAGCACCAATGCTTTGGCACTGTCCTGTAAGAAGCACACAGTCTATCTGTAAGGTAGATGAAGTCCTCTAAAATGGGGTTGATTATCACCATTTATTCACTCTACTCCAAAGCACAACAGTATTTGTTTTACCGCATGACGTCTTTTATTTGAAAGTTTTTTTAAATAAAGTTTTAACATAAAATTTTCAATTGTTTAATATTAATTAAAACTAACTTAAAATTCTAGGATCACTTTCCCCCCATTTTGAAAAGCATTAGAGTCTTAGGATACTTGATAGACAGATATGCCCTGCTTTTACTCTGCTACAGGTAACCAGGGCCATTTCAGAAGTCTTTTAAGTTTCAGCTCTAAGCCCACATGGTAGCCTTTCACAGTTAACATGACTGAGATATGTTATCTAACAATGCAAGATAAAGTTCTTCAAATGCAGATTTCTGGTTTGAGGCCTAGAAACTGTCCAGGTCAGAATTACCTAGCCACTATCCTCTTTAGATCTCACTGAGAGCCCAAACCAAGAAGTGACACAACTTAGTCCTTTCGTGTGCCTATGCTGCAAGCATGATCAAGCCACAATCTGGCCCTGCTCAAATATGAACACAAGAAGTGACTTATTTATATGTTGAAACTTCAGAACGTTTGAAAGGCCTACCATGTGTGCTGTTAAAAGGTTTTTAATTTAAACTTATTGTGTTAGATAATCATACTTCAAGTGACAGTATGATTTATCACCCCTAATCACGATTCTGATCCCTCCTAGACTTCTTGTTTGTATCTGTTTTTGTTCTCTGTTACATAAATATGAGGTTCATATATAAAATTCTGACTGTGTAATATAGGGCTAATGAGTCACAGATGGAAAGATCCTGGCACATTACCATCTAATAACATTTTAAACTCATATTCCATAGTAAAAACAAAAGCAAATTGTACACATCTGTTTCCCAACTTGTGGCATTTCTGAGTTGAGGTAGAGTCGATGCTTACATGACTTTCGCTTAGGGAGAAGAAAGAGAGGACACAGGTCACCTCAAACCTGCCCAGCCACTTTATACCCTTTATCGGAGTAGATTTGGCACAAGGGATAAGGGTTCCTCTGCTTAGCTTCCTGAGACCTCACAGAGATAAACAATGAGAGCCAAAGGCTGAATCAATAGGACTAAAGCGCGTCTTCATGTCTCATACCTAATTTTATTGATTATTGATTATCTTAAAAAGAAAAACATATCCCCAACATCAGGAAAATGAAGAGAAAATGCCCACTGATAAACTAATAAGGCTAAAAACCTAGCAACTCTCTAGCCTTTGTGTGCGTGTGTGTATGTATACACACACACACATATACCTATATATATGTATATATATATATATAATGTTTTATAGTGTTAAAGGGAATAAAAGACTCCAATTTCAATTTTTTTAAAGAAATGGAACAAAGGCAAAATTTCTTTTCAGATTTCCCCGGTTGATAACACTGTGAGGATAACTTTACCCCACTTGCTACAGTCTGGGTCCCTGTGGCACCTCCCCCATCCTCCTTGCCTAGGGAGCCAGAGCCACTTCTCTGTTTTAAGGGGTTGTGTGAACTGTCACATTCTTTTGGAAAAGTTACGTGACAGAAGTGATTACTGTGGAGTGTGACTGTAAATCACCCTGACATGAAATACACATGCTGTAAGAGACAGATTTCCATCTATCGCCTCACAAACGTTCCTGAAAACATGGCAGACCTGAGAGCAACCACATGAGCAGAGAGAATTTTGATTTGTTGGGGGGTAACACTTTTTGTACATGCCAACTATGTTTGTTCTGAAGAGCACTTCTAATCTGACAATAAAATTCTGTTCACTGTTGTTGTTGATAAGAATTAATATGTGTATTGTGTGTATTAGATGTCCTAATTTGTAAACAGAATACCAGTGGGCAGAACGTTTTCATAACAGTGTCTGCAGTTATCTCTAGTCTGTACTAACCCTTTAAAAGGAAGCTTCCAGAAATATTAAGTGCTGCAAACAACCTACAAGAATGCACACAGATCTCTCCTCAATGAGTCCACAGCCCTGCCATTCCGTGCTTTTTCGGAACGGCTGTTTAATTGGGAGCCTCTTATGTCTAATACGTCGAACCTGAGCGGGAAGGGGAGGGTTTACACATGCATCTTGTTTTGTTTGTCTGCCAGTGAAATGTCTGTGTGACGTTTTGTGTCGTGTTGTTTTGGTGTTGTGCCATGTCCATAGGGCCTGCCAGGCTTCCCCACAGTTGCTGCCCTACACAGCAATCAGATCCTCACCGTCAAGGTTTGTGGATGATGCTCGTGCTTACCAGTCAGACGCACAATCAGCATAAGGGTGACAAGAACCATCTGTGGCCTTTCCCAGCCTCTGCTCCTATTGCCAGCTGACTGCGTTGGGTTCCTGGGACCTCAGGTGGATGAGGGAGGTCAGATGTGGTCTAAGAGACCCTCCTGAGCATTCATGAGGAGGATACTGAAGTTATTCATGTACAGTGACAATCAAAGGCGTGTCTTCCTAGGAGGCTGCCTCATATCTGTGGCTGGTGGTTGGATTTACACACATTCCAATGCTCTATGATGGTTTCCCAGCCAGTTGAGAAATTCTAAGGACTCCAAGCTTGGAGTGTCGATACCTGGTTCATGCCACATTATGCTGGTTGACAAATCTGACTGCATTGGAACTGGTGCTTTGTCTGTAGACTTTCTACTCTGGGTGGAGAATACAAGGTCATCTGCTTCCCTTGATTCTGGAAGTAGATACATAGAAGACACCAACCTCCAAACATCCAAATGATGGGGTACAAAAGGGACTCATTTCTAATCAAAAGTCAGGACTCATTCCATCTCAAGGCTGCCTTTCTTCCAGAGAGGCTGAGAGTCTGTCAGACATGGGCACCAGTTCCATTTTATTTAATGGTCATTATGAGACTAATGTATATATCTTTATTTCTTCCTCGGGGCCTTCTGATGCTTACTCCTCAACTCTCTCATCTCTGAACTTCAACCTTTGACCTCACCTGACTGATCAGATGGTGTTTCCTAAAATCAATCATGGCTTTCTCTCTGCTGATCAGCAGCTCATTAAACGCCGGCTGATTAAGGTAGTGCTGCTTCCTGCTGAAGTCTGAGTTCTCCTTTGCATTCAAGTACTGCCCTGGGCACTGCTGCTTTGCATTTATCTCTCGTGCATGGCGCATAGATGGGGGGGGAAGGCTTTGTAAATATCCCAGCGTAAGATTGTATTTGGTGACTCACAGTATAGAAAGCCCACCTGGTTTTTAATCAAGACAACTTCAGTTGTAACCAGCAATAGACACATGGTTCTTCAGCCCTCTGGCTCTGATAAATTATGCATCTATTATGCAATAGAGCAGGAACCTATTATGCTTAATCTTTGATTCTGTGAGAAAATGTATTTTCAAACTGGAAATGCAGCCACCCATTGATCAGGGTAAATGGGTCCGATAGAGCATTGCCATAGAGACTCTTAAACAAGGGCTCTGTACGGCTCTGAATACAGTAATAGTGTACTTTGAGAGCCATGCTACTGGGACAAGAACTGTTTTAGTTTCATAGCATCTGTTTGGCTCTCCCACAATAAATATTTGCTCCCTGCTGACAGGTAGCTTGCCAGTAGACTTCATATACATGATGGTCTGGTTCTTTTAGCATAAATGTAGATTAGATAATATGAATTTTAAAATGTTGAAATAGAACCTGAATATTAATGACTCATGATTATTGTTGGTTCATTCCCTTCCTCCATTCCAGGGTGATCAAGGACAGGCTGGGCCTCCAGGACCCCCAGGCCCTCCTGGTCCAAGAGGCCCACCTGGGGACACAGGGAAGGATGGCCCCCGAGGAATGCCAGGAGTGCCTGTGAGTTTCTTCCTGGGTTGTGGCTCTCCCTGGTTTTGTCCCATGTTAAGGGGTAAGAAGTGAGATATGCAAGGTGACAAGAAACTGTGGGGCTAAGAGGTCAGGTGACTAGGGGAGGCTTGGGGGAGTGGAATGAGGACAGTCCTGGAGCATTGCAGGGCATTTCAGCAGTGTTTTGCTTCATCACGGGCCCAAGAAAGGCCAGATGGCACCTACATGGATCTTGTGAGCTTTTGGAAGTTCATAATGAGAAATTCCCAGTCTTGCCTCTAACCTGTAACCACTGCCTTTTTGGATGAAGTGGGTTATTAGAGAGAAAAAATGAAACCAAACCATAGTGGACACAGTCAAGCCCCACGCTGCTAACAGAAAGCAAGGGAGCTTACTAATATTGTTCCCTTGCAAATGACTTGGTTGAGTGTTTAATAGAAACAAATTAATGACGTAAGCACCAGAGGGTGTGACCATATATACTATCACTTGACATTTGCATCTGAAGCTTATCTAACAGAAACCATTCGTAAATGACTTCAACACTAGAATTTGTCATAGCAATAACAAAAATATGGGACACAGATAAATGATATGACTTAGTATATGCCTCCCAATAATTTAAAGAAATATATGAACAAGATTAAAGAAATGACTGGGTTGATATCTAGGTTCCCAAGTTAGAAATTAAGGTTTATTGCTGAGTTAAATTTTATTTAATGTATTGCTTAAGTTGTGTTCATTAGTAATTTTCTAGTTTAAAAGTAATGATGAAAATATTTTATAACAAAGTAGAATATTTGTAAATAAAACCATAGTTGTTAATGTTATCATATATTGAATTTTTAATGCATGTATTTTTGTATTGTTTTTCTAAGGATTAATCTGTGTGTAAGGATAAAGGGCCTTTTATCCCTGTTTGCTGTCATCTCCTCCAAAATCCCACTTCCCTTTCTGAAGGTTGTGTGTTTGCTCCTATGAAATTAGGAACAGACTCAAAGACTTGTTGGGACTGTTTTTCCTGAACGTTTGAAGGTGGTCAATGCATCCTGACCCTGCCTACTTAATGTCTGACATTTTCTTAGATGGGTGTTCCTGGGGACAGCCTTCCATGGCTTTGGGGGATTGACAGCTAGTCACCACAGTGGCTGTCCTCCAATAGCCAGTTAAAGACATGGGCTGGCAGGCATGTGGTATGTAGCAGGCATAATTCCTGTGATGCCAGCACTCAGGAGGCAGAGACAAGAAGAGGGCTGTGAGTTCGAGATCAGCATGAGCAGGCTGGAGAGATGGCGCAGCAGTTAAGAGCTCTGGCTGCTGCTCTTCCATGGAACCTGAGTTTGATTCCCGGCACCTACGTGGAGGCTCACAACCATCTGTAACTCCAGTTCCCAGGGATCCAACACTGTCTTTCGGCTTCTGAGGACACTGAACACACATGGTGCACTGACATATGTGCCAGCCAAATACACATACACATAAAATAATTCGTTTTTAAAGATGTATTTTTTAAAAAACTAGCATGGGCTACACAGTGAGTTCTACCAGTCTAGAGAATAGTGTGGAAACCTGTTTTAAAAGAACCAAAACAAAGAAGCAATAGCCCAACATGTCATTGGTAGAAAAATGGCTAGGTTATCATATATTATAAAGAAATAAGTTTATGCTAGATTTTACTAGTAGGAGATAAAGATAAGGAATTTGGGAGATGGCTTATTCAGTAAGTGCCATACAAGCTTGACGAGCAGTGTTCAAGCCCCAGCATCTAAGTTTGTAGCCCCATCACAGGGAAGGCAGAGGTAAGAGGATACTTGGTGCTTGCTGGACAGCCATTCTAAGCCAAATCAGTGAAATCCAAGTTCAGTGAGAGGCCCTACCTCAAAAGCCAGGCTGACTGCAATTGAGAAGGCACCAGATATTAACCTCTGGTAAGGGGACCCTTTACATGAAGGGCAAATGAACTAAAGAATTCCACAAATAGGTTTGGTTTTTATAACGGTCTCAGAGACAGTTTGCATCTACTATCATAACCACTAGAAAAAACACTCTATAAAAGTGAGGTGGGTGCCGGAGAGATGGCTAAGCAGTCAAGAGCACTTGCTGCTCTGGTTCCCAGCACAGGGTGGTGCACCCCCACCTTTCACACGGTCCCAGGGGTCTAGTGTGCTCTTCTGTCTCTGAGGGTACCCGCCATGTGCTTGGTGCACATGCATAAACGTAGGCAACACACTTACATGCATAGGATAAAAACAAAATATAGATTTTAATGTGATCTGGAAAATATTCATGTTTGAAAGACCAGCATCACCTATGTATATTGGAATTACAGGCACAGATCTCGGTAAACCCCATAGCCGGAGGCTGTCATTATGTGTGACAATAAAACACAGGAGTAAGTTCCACATAAACCTGGTCATTGTGAAACAAACAAGCATATGAAGCCACAGAATATTCTCTATTAGTTTCAGTAAACATGTTAATTCATCTCTGATTAATGCAAAACAGAAAAATTCAAAACTAGCTTCTGCTCATTTTGCAACTAAATACTGTAGAAAGAGGGGTTCTCTAGCCTGCACTAGTCCTGTGTTTGTATCCGTGTGGGGAACACATGAGGAGCTAGACTAAGCTTATTAAACTCTAAAATGTTTATAAAGATTGCAGTCAAAGAAAGGCTATCCTCTCTTTGTTGATACGTTTACATTCTATTTAATCTAAAAAAATGTATTTGACATTCACATGACCCAGAAAGTATTGGGAAAAAGAAGATAGCTGAAAATTTTTAAATACTTTCTAATGAGTCATTGTTATTCATATTTTTAAAGGGTGAACCAGGGAAACCAGGAGAGCAAGGCTTGATGGTACGTATCTCATTTTATTTTTCAATGAAAATAATAGAAAGCTGGGTTAATAAAAACTATGGTCAACTTTATGAGCGAGTAACCAATCTTTTCAAATGACCCATAACAGAAACAGTAATCTGTGAAAGTTAGAAAACAACGGTCCCCACTTACTTCATGCTAAGGATCACAATACTACTCTCTCTGGGTTCTATTGCTATGAAGAGACACCATGACCATGGAAACTCTATAAGAAAAGAATTTAAGTGGGACTGATTTACAGTTCAGAGGTTTAGTCCATTGTCATCATGGCGGGAAGCATGGCAGCATGCAGGAAGACGTGGTGCTGGAGAAGGAGCTGAGAGCTACATTCTGATCCACTAGCAGCAGGGAGAGAGGGAGAGAGGGAGGGAGGGAGGGAGGGTGGGAGGGAGGGAGGGAGGGAGAGAGGGAGGGAGGGAGGGAGGGACTGGGGCTGGCCCAGGTGACACATTTCTTCCATCAAAGCCACACCTCCTAATCTTCTATCCTATCAAAGTGTTCTGAGCATTCGAATACATCAAAGCCATACCTCCTAATCTTCTATCCTATCAAAGTGTTCTGAGCATTCGAATACATGAGCCAATGTAGGCCATTCTCATTCAGGCCACTACAATCATATCCATAGAAACAATACAGGGAGAGAGAGAGGGAGGGGGTGTCCAGATGGGGAGACGGGGAGAAAGAATAGTTCAGAAGGCCCAAAGAGCTGCAGTGAGCAGCTCAGTGTAGCAGAGGTTAAGTTCAGAGATGAACCTATCAGTTCCAAAAGAAACTTGTTGGGCTTGGAAGACAGATAATTCAGTGGGCAAGAGCATGAAGACTGAGTTCTGAGACCAGGTGGGTGTCAACTTGCAACCCTAGGGCAGGAAGGTGAGGGGGCAGGAAGATGGCTGCAGCTTCCACAACAATCTTTGTACAGTGGTATAAAGAGGTGGTTTGGTATTTGTTGTTATTTGTTTGTTCATTCGTTTGCTGAAGAAAGACATTTTGGATTTCTGCCATTCAGTCAAAACAGAGCACATGGTAAATGTGTGGACACAGAAATCCCAGTCCTTGTGATTTTTAGATCCTTGGCCAGCGTATAAAAGGCATGTCAGCTTGTTGAATCCTAAAGGGACATCTTCAACCTGCTCTCCCCCTCTTCCCCTCAACCTGCCGTTCCAACCTGCGGTATGATGTTTTAACCTTATTGGGGAAAAATAGGGTGATCTTTCTGTGAGCCCCAATCCACAGCTTGGCTTATACCCTTCTGGGACGCAGAATGAGTGAGCCTGTCAAGCCTCATGTCCATGCTCGCATTACGTAGATAGCTCGGGTACAAAATTCATTTTAAGAATTCTTACTGCATGCCTAGGAAGGCTAATGTACAGAAACATAACAGTTGGTTAAAACCCGAAGTAAACATGGGAATTGACAGAAAGAGTAAAGGCTCCCTGCTTCAGGAGAAGCCTTGGATCACAGTCCTGGGGAGCTGACTAGTAGTGGAATCACAGCACCCGGGACCAAACCCCACCACATAGAAATTGCTCTATTCGTGACCGGTAAGATCAAGATATATATTTGGTCCAGATTTATTTAAAATAAAATTATAAAACATTTGTCATCAGTAGCACCCTCATGGCGGGACAGCTTTAGCTCATGTTGCTGCAGACTCAGAGGGAAAAAGGGATTCTTGGAACAGTAGGATGTAAATTTTGGAATTGTTTTAAGCATCTATAGTCTCTGTCCTTGTGTACTACAAGTCTGTGCTGACGTATCACTCACTCACTGGCTTCCACTTTCCGCTCCGGCACCTAGTTCAGCATCTTCAAGTATGTAGTATTCTCAAGTTAAGTGACTCATCTTGGAGAATTACATTCCTGCTTCCCCTGTTTATCTATTCTCCAGGACTGATTATATGAACAATACATAATCTCACTTTCCTGTGGTTTCCTGTTTTATTTTTATTTATGTTCTTGGAGTGCCAGAGATTGAATCCAGGACCTCACATAGGCTAAGTACCTGCCCCACTAAGCTATTTCCACTCCTAACTTAAGTCATTAAATATAAGTGTTTTTCCTAGCCCTAAATGAATTATAATGTTATTTTACTGTACTTCTATCTCCCATCTCATATAAAAACCCTCTCAAATGCAGATAAATATTGGCCATATTTTCTATAAACTGTTTTCTCTCTGTTTACAATCTTCTGATGAGTTCGTGTCTCATTTCCTAGATCCAGCCAAGAAATGTAAATGAAATCACAAATGTCCCAAGGCTTTGTGGGCTTAATGATCTTCTAAAGTGAATTTTATAGATGATCTCTTTTGAAAGTGTAAATTACTGCTTTAAGTGAACATTTCTTTAATATGCAAACTGGATTTAACCTGTCGTACATCTCAGTGATTATTCACAAATGAGTGTAAGTAATGTACAACTCAAACCAATAGCTAGAAAGCTTGTGTGCCCCGTCCCCAATCCCCATCCCAAAGCTAGTCACCATTCTGACTAGTGTCGTCATGAATTAGCTTCGTCTGCATTTGAATTTTACACTAATTGACTCATACAGTATGTTCACATTTGTGTCTGGATTCTTTCATTCAGCATTGTATTTGTGAGATCATCTACTCCTGTTTTAATAGCCTTCACAGCTGTTCAAAAAATAGGAGGAAGGCCCTTACTTCCTCTATTACCCCGTTAAAACTACATCAGTCAGAGCAGCGAATGAATGAGTGCCTGTCTGACCTTGGGCAAGTCACTTAACCTCTCGATTTCTCATCTGTACAGAAAAAATAACACTGTCTTTGCCTTCCTTAAAAGGTTGACAGAGACAAATGCAGTAAATTAGTGGAAATCTCTTTAAAATCTGTAATGAGAACTATAGATGAGTGTTGTTATCACTCTTTGTTCTCAATACAGTACAGGTGAGCTTGGATTTATATAGCAGATGTATCCATGAAGGTTTTTTTTTTAATATGAATCAGATTTCCATGAATCAACCTGTTTTTAAGTTGATGGAGAATTTGGTTTTTTGAAACAGTTCATAACACCTTTACTCATTTTCTAATTTGTTTTATACTTAACCCACCTCAAAAAGAGTACTGGAAATATAGTTGAATTTTTGTTTGGTTTGGTTTGATCTGGGATTTTTGAGACCCATTTTCCAAGCTGACCTGGAAATCACTTTGTAACTCAGGCTGGCTTCAAACTCATGATCTTCCTGCCTGGCTTCGTACATTCTGGGATTATAGGAATGTGGCATGATATCCAGCATTTATAGTGGTCATTTTTATGAGGCGAGATCTCTTGTGCAGTTTTTTTCTTTTTTTTTTCTTAATATTTTTTTTATTTTCCATTTTAAATTTAGATGAGAAACAAGGTTGCTTCACAAGTCAGTACGAGGTCCCTCTCCCTTTTCCTCCCCTCCTCCCGTGCCCTCCCCCCCATCCCCCCCCCGTTATCCCCTCATTCCCCCAGGGAGGGTGAGGCCCTCCATGGGGGTGTCCATAGTCTGTCATTTCATATAGGGCAGGGCCTAGACCCTTCCCCAAGAGTTCAGGGTGAGAGTGCACCTCACATTGTTCTATGGGAGTCCAGAGACCGTGTGTGTACTTGGGATGGGTACTGATCTGCTGTCCAAGGCTCAATAGATTACCTAGGCCTCCTCACTGACACCCAGATTCAGGGGGTCTTGATCAGTCCCATGCTGGTTTCCCAGGCTGATGCCTGGGATTCAAGAGTTAACCTTTGTCTGGTCAGCTGTTTCTGGGGGTTCAACCAGCCCAGTCTTAATCCCTTTGATCATCAGTCCTCCCTCTCTGATACTGGCTTTCTTGAGTTCAGCTCAGTACTTAACCAGCCAGTAAATGAAGTTTCTGTTTCCCAGACTCTCTGGCAATAGGATTGTAGGCTGGCACTCCCCAGATCTATGTCTAAAATCCATATATGAGAGAGTACATGCCATGTTTCTCTTTTTGTGACTGGGTTACCTCACTCAGGATGGTTTCTTCTAGTGTCATCCATTTGCCTGCGAATCTCATGATTCCATTATTTTTTTCTGCTGAATAGTACTCCATTGTGTAGATGTACCACATTTTCTCTATCCATTCTTCGGGTGAGGGACATCTAGGTTGCTTCCAAGTTCTGGCTATTACAAATAAAGCTGCTATGAACATAGTGGAACAGACATCTTTGTTATATGAATGGTCATCTTTTGGATATATGCCTAAGAGTGCAGTTGCTGGGTCTTGTGGTAGGTTTATTCCCATTTTTCTGAGGAATCTCCATACTGCTTTCCAAAGTGGCTGAACCAGTTGGCACTCCCACCAGCAATGGAGGAGTGTCCCCCTTTCTCTTGTGCAGTTTTTATTTCATGTGTGTGTACGAATGTGTGTGTGTGCATGCTCATGTGCACTTATGCTTATTCATGTTAATGTGTGCACATACACACAGTGTTTTAATCCAGAAGAAGGTAGAAAGGTGCATTGCCTCTGTAGTGCTAGCTTGAAAGCATTTAACGTGTGGTGTCATCTTTTCCTCCGTACAGATCAATAGACTAGATAGTGGTTGCTGTTCTACGTATCTTGATGTATTATGTACGAACAGCAAGTGAAGTGCTGACATGAAATGCCCTGTGGACCACAAGGAACCCCATAGATGGGCAGTATTGCTCTTGAAGCAAATGTCGAGCAAGCAGTGTAAGCAGCGACACAGACAGACTCCAGAAAAGCTATAGAAGAATGCTTACGTAGTCAATGACACGACAGCATGTCAATGCTGCGGTTGGGAGTGCTGCTGTCTCTGTTCTATTTGTTGTTGCCACTGAGCCTTCTGTATACCACACCACATTATCAATTTTTCATGATGTTCTTTTCATCCGTCAGTTCAAACAAAGCACGATGAATAGCACCGATCTTTTCCTCTCGGGATAATCCCCGGTTGGTTTGAGCTGCTCTGTGGAGCTTGTTTAGATGAGGGTTCTAACGATGCACCGGAGGATCA